ATCTATAGAGTTTCAAGTTTTGGCAATGAACATGGTTATTTACAAGTACAATAACGATTTTTATTTAAGTCTTCATGATTGTTACATCATTTATCTGACTCTTAAAATTTCATTAGGCTATAAGAAAAAATATGGTAGTATTTTAAATATTAGAATGAGGAAGATCATTCTAAGCATATCACAAAACCCAAAAGCCATAAAATAAAAAGTAATAAATTTAAATACATTATTAAAAACCCTGACTAGTAAAAAGGTATAAACAAGGTCATAAAACAGGTGACAATAAAGAGATTCAACAAATCATTAAAAAGGACAAACAGAAAAAGAAATACAAATGGTTCTCAACCTCCCTGATAGTAAGAAAACTGCAATTAAATCTAGAATGGCATATTTTTCACCAAAACATTGGCAAGGACTATCACATACTGAGTGAACAAGGATGTGTGAAAATCTCCCTATTATATGTCACTTATGCATACTTCCTTTGTGAAATTTAATATTTATTATTTTTAATATTTATTAAAATTTAAAATTTTTATTTTATATAAGTTATAAAAAATATAAAAGTTATATTTTATGACCTTTTGACTAAACAATCCCATTTCTAGGAATTTATTCCAGAGACATATTCACACATGTGGGAAATGACATATGTACAAAGATATTTATCACAGCGTTATTTCTAATGGCAAAATAATTAGAAACAACTTAAATACCTAAGAATATGAAACTAGTTAAAGAAGTTACAGAACATTCATAAAATGGGATATTACACAGCCATTAAAATGAATTAGGCACATATATTCACAGGTATGGAATTGATCTCCTAAGAAGTAAACTGCAGGACACATTGTGTTTCTTTATGTTTACAAATATAAACCCATACGTGTGTGCACACACATACCTACATATACAGACACACAGTATTTGATATACACACATATCTACTCTCATGCATAGAATATTTCTGAAGGAGTATACAATACGCTGACAACAGCAGTTGCCTCTGGCTAGGGGAAATAGGTAGCTAAGAAATTTTATACATTATGTTATGTGTTACCTATTAAATAAAGGAGTTTATAAATTGACTTTGGAAAGTACTTTTAAAATTGAATTATTAAAAAGAAATTAGAACTGCTTACCTATGTTTTAAATATAAGCTAAATTATTACCTTGATCTATCATGGAAATTTTTACTTATCATCTTCTTTTATTGGGGGAGCAAATTATCCCTTTGACATTAACAGAAAATCTAAACTGAGAATGAAAAGATAATTTACACGTCAAGAAGCACATAATTTCTAATTTGTTGCAAAAACACCTCATCTGAAAGACTATTATATGCAGATAGTAGAAACTCAATAAGTATTTACTGAATGAATACTTTTCTGTTGATTTCAGTAGGTTTGCTTTCCTCATACATTTTTTTCACAATATCACACCAAAAACAAACAACAAAAACTCCCTGAAAAATATAAACTTTTAATAAATTATGTACTTTTGTCCCAAAAATTTCATTTTCCCAACAAGTTTGGTAAACTACTTGTTAATGAACATTACTACAATTTAAATCAACATTGCTTACTAGGTACCTACCACGTGCAGGTGTTAAGGATGCTGCAAAATACAAACTCCGAAGAAAAGAAGGGTAAGTTTTTATTCTTGCCCTCAAGAAGTTTAGTCTTGAAAGACAAGGTTTAAAAACTTTAATCAATAAAAGGACATTACAGATTTTAATGATAGATTGCGTTATCCAAACTAAAACTGTTAAAGGAATTTACATAAGGATAAAAAAAGTAATTATTGATCTACTGAAACATAAAAATGCTTCCAAAGGCCTAATATCTCACTCACACGTAAAATGGTATTATTTGATGGTGACCAAAGACTTCCAGAGTATGTGGATATTCAGCTAGACTTTGAAGAAATTGCTAATGATTAAATAAATATAAATAGTTTTTAATTATTCAGGCTCCTTAGAAGAGAGATTACTGTAGTGGTCTCAATCAGTTTTGATCGCTCACCTCTCTCACTAAAAATATCTCAGGCATGAACTTCTTAAAATATGTATATTTATTTATAAATTATATGCATCTTCACACTGTCAATCTATATATTAAGTATTAGTAAAGCTTAATTTCTTTTTCAAATAGAAATGTAAATATGTTTTATTATTTTCTTCCTGTAATCCAATACATCATCTTATGATGCCCTTGGGTAGGCACACTCCACTTTGTATGAATACTTAACATGAATATTGAAACTCACAGATCATGCAAAAATATTTCCATGCAACAGTGTCAATTATTCACACAGCAAACTTATTTTTTAACATAGTTGTTAAAAGGCAGCAGACATGAATTTGAATTTCAGTTTATTTCTCTCTGCCCATGACCTTCTCTCAGAATAAATGTTAACATGCAATTAAATGGACATCACTAAAGAGAAACAAAGTGTAGTCATGACCAGATAAATGGCCCCTAAAACTTAATGGGAAATAGTAATCATTGAAGAATATTAGTATTATTTTTTTCTTATAAATAGCATTTGAACTTAATAAACAACATTGAAAATATATTACTTAGTAAATTGTCAAATTCTTCAAAACAATGTCTTTCACTATTATCATTCTATTATAAAGTCTATCTATTCTTTTCCTCATTTTCTTTGCCTACTCTTAGCTTATTACAAAAGCCAAAAGTATTTTTAAAGAACATTAAAAATTAAAGTTTCAAATATATTATGCTTTAACTTCCAAATAGCTTCTTGTTAAAATGAATACAGAAACAATTCCGAAACCATGTAGATCATTTTGAGGTATGACTCCTTCCAAGTCTCAGTTAGGTAAAAATGCAAATAGATATTTTAAATAAATATGAACAGATTTTTCATCAATGAAATTTCATATACTGTATAACTATATGTGTAGAGAATGCTTGTTTCTACCTAAACTATGCAAATATGAATGCACAAACTTTATATGATTTGCACAGTATGTAGGTTTACATAGAAATGTAATATATTCACATGTACCTACCTGGAAAACCCTTTCACACTATATAACATATAGTTCATTTTGAGTAATTCTTAATTCAGTACTCAAAACTTCATTTAAATTTCTATATATTAGAACAATAAATAGATTTGGAACTATACTGAACTAGCCAGTAAGTACCATGATTTAGCATACCATAAAAAAATAAAAACACATTCTACATCTAAATATGTGAGTCAAAGAAATAAAACCACATTTAATTTGAGCATCATTTTGAAAATACTTATTTTGTAGCAATTATAGTGAAAAATACAGATTCATATATCTAAATATCAAATCTAAGTCATCAAAAAGCTTGGCATTGTTAGTATATATAGTAAAGTTGAACAAAATTAGAAGTATGCTCAAAAAACTTTTCAAAATAATGTTTAATTCATTATTAGTTGAAATAAGCTACTGAAATTTCTTAACCTTTTTCATTTCTCGAGGCTACTAATAAATCACACTCCCAAACAAGTATTCAAACCCAGAAATCAGTTTCGAAGAAGCAATTCTTCTTTATTTCAGTTAATATGTTAGGAGCACATTTGCTCTCTTAGTGCTTCAATATTTTTGAGAACTAGTATTTTTCTTGGACATGTAAATATATTTGATACATTTGTTATTATATTATTTAAAGGAATATTTTTCATTAAAATATGCAAATATGTATGTATAGACAGAATTGTTTCTTTGTAAGTGCTAAAGAATACTGAATGCAACAACCTGTTTTTAAAAGTTAATGATCAGAGGTCAGTGTGTTAGTTCCCTCCTAGAGGAACTCTTACACTTTCAACTATGTGTTTCTGTGGAGAATATGGGAAAAGTATATTTGATAACACAGAAAATAACTGTCGCACCTTCGGCATATAAACTGTACAAATTAATATCTTAATAATGCATTTCAAGCAAAAATGAAAGAGTTGAGTCGGAAAAATATCAGAAGGGTTACACATCTTCTGCGCACTCTCTTTCACGTAGTAACTGAGAAATCAAATAACCGTAAAACATTTAAAAGCAAACGTGCAGAAACAAATCTCTTTGCCAGACTGACAAGAAAAGGAGTCTCAAAGCTACAGATATCTGTCCGGACAGTTCCCTGGTGCTGAAGTTACACAGCCGCTAAACTGCGCGGGTGACTGGGTGCTGCTTTTACCGTCCCACCCTCGGCAAGACCCCGGCTGCCTAGCCTATCAGCACAAATAGTAGAACTTCACAAGGTAGGAAGCATCCCAAAGCGCAGTAATGGGAGGAACTAGGGTCTCTTCAGAGTCCCTTCAGGATTAAACAGATTTACTAGTTGCAAACAGGAAGAGCAGCAGAGTGCAGGGTGTTAGAACCCGCCGAGGGGGAGGGGGTGGAAGATGGCGGCGGCCGCACACCCACCCGAAACGCCACAGAGCTTAGGCCCCTCGCCCGCACGGCCTCCCTCCTGCCCGCTACGACAGTGGGCAGCTCTGCTCTCCGAGCCGCCCTGCGGAGGCGGCGACGAGACGGCCCCGGCGGCGCCCTCATCCCCGGCCGGCGCGCCTTTGCCGGGGTCCCGGCCGGGGAGCACCTGTGCACGGCCATATTGGATTCCTTGCCCCAGTCACTGCCTCCGCGCGGGGGCGGCGGGAAGGGAGAAGGGACGCGCGGAGCCTGGGTTCAGCCCCAACCCCTCCGGGGCCACGGAGCCGAACTGGCCCGCGGGGAAAGCCAGCAGGACGCCCGGGAAAATTACAACGCCCAAAGGCTCGCGACCCTCACCTCAGCCGGCCTCGGCGCCCTCCTTCCCCGACACACACCCCCGCGCTCTGACACCCAGAAAGCAGCCCCGGCGGCCGCCACCAGCCGCAACCCTCATGGCCCGGGCGCCGCCGGCGAGAGGGAGGGCGGCGACCCGGGGCGCGCAGGCGGCCGCAGGGCAGCGACCGAGGGGGCGGAGGGCAGGGAGGGAGGCGGGAAGATGGAGCCAGGTCCTTACTTGAGCACCGACTGCTCCTTCTCCTCTTCTTTCTTCTGCCTATCCATGACCGCCAGGATGATTTTCCTCTCCTCCTCCGTGAGGTGGCTGAGGTCGGGCATCTCGGGCTGCAGAGGCGGCTGAGAGGCCGCCGGGGTGGGAGCCGGGCGGCCCCGCGGCCCGACAGGAGCCGACATATTTGGTGGAGTCTAACCACCCTAGGGAAGAAGGGAGGCAACTCCACTGGAGGCGGCGGCGGCGGCACCGGCGCGGGCGGCTGGGGCAGCCTCCGGCGCTGGGACAAATACATACAAATCAATGGCCTTCAATCCTAGGCGACAGCCCCCCTCCTCCAAGATAGAAAGAGCGGGGGAGGGGAGGGCGAGCGCGGGGGAAGGGAGAGCTGATGAGTGCGCTCCGAGAAATGTTTCTTCTTCCCGGGGGCGAAGGGCTGGCAAGTGAGCGGTTTGAGGGAGCGAGGAGCGGGAGGCCGGGCCGGGACGCGGAGTGAGCGGAGCGGCAGGGGAGGGTGGTGGAGTAAGGTGGCGGGGACGACTAAGGGTGGGGTGACTGGAGGGAGCGGGCAGGAGGGCGGCGCGCCGGCCGGGGCGCGAGTGTGTACGGCCGCGGCGGGGGCGGGGGGTGCGCGCACCGCTCGAGAGGAGAAAGAGGAGGCTGCGCGACCCAGCCCCCCGGGGGAGTCCGGGGAACTCGCTTCGAGCGCCCAGAGGCAGCGTCCCGCGAGCCGGAGGGGCGCAAGAGCGGAGAGGGAGGAAGCAGGGTCTAATTTCCCAGAGAAGCAGCTGAGCCGTACAGCCGGCTGACGCGTCACAGGGCTCCCGGCGCCGCGGAGGGAGGACCCCCCTCTAGCCACGACGAGGAGAGGGCCGCGGGGCAGGGGATGGCCGCCAGAGACCCCTCCGGCCTAGAGCGGGTAAGCGAAAGCGGAGAAGAGATGACAAGGGCTAGCGGCGGAGAGTCCCGGGGCCAGGGCTACGCGGCTGCCAACGCCCGCATCCAAGCGAGCTCCGACGCGCAGCAGGGTCGGGCGCCGGTCCTTCCTCATCACGCGCCCGCCCAGGGTCCCTCAGCCGCCGCCGCCGCCGCCGCCCTAGGGTCCGTAGAGTGGGTGCGGTGGGCCCGCTCTCTACGCCGCTGCTGCCGCCGCCTCCGCCGCTCGATGCCGCCGCCGCACCTCCTCCGCCCCTCCGCCTCCCGGGCTCCTCCCGCGGGCCGCGTCACCTCCCGGCCGCTGAGGCCCGGGCACCGCGGACGCCCAGCGGGCGGCGGCCACCCCTCCCGAACGCGATCTGTGGACTGGGGCCGGGCGGGGAGATGTTGTGAGGCTAAGAGTGTGAGCCGGGCGGAGGCGGGGAGCGGGAGTTTCAAGGGCGGGGGTGTGGCGAAAGTGAGCGTGCGAGCCTGCGTCGGGAGAGAGGAAAGAGGGAGAGCCGAGGTGGTTGGGGCGCCCTGTGGGTCAGCTGGAGAGGCAGAAGACTAGGAGTGTGGGCACTGGCGGCGGGGCGTGTCGCGTCCGGAGAGAGGGTGTGATCGGGAGTGAGGGCTCCCAGGGTTTTGGAACGGGAGGGCGGGGGGTGGGCATGGTGTCTGGCTGCAGGTGAAAGAGTGTGAGCGCGTGGAGGGACTCTCGAGATGTCGTGGGAGGGGTCCTGGAAGGAGGGAGAGTGTAAGCGTGGCGTGGGGTCCCCATGGCAAAGAATGCTCGGAGAGCTACTGAGCCGAGGGCGTAGGAGAGCCTGGAGAAGCGGGGAGGTGAGATTGGGGAAGATAGGGTTTGTCTGGGACAGGTGTGAGGATGAGGACGAGACAAGAGGCTGCGAGTGGGAGCGCGAAAGGATTAAGGATCAACCGGAGGGTGAGGATGAGCCGCTGCTGGGCCAAGGGCTTCGGTTCTATTTGGTCCTATTTGGAGGGCCTAGTCTAGAGAAAACTGGCAGGGAAGCCAGGGTATGGGGTTAGTGTCAGAGTCCGGTTTTCCGAGCACAGGGACGGGTAAGATGAAAGAGGTTGAGAGTGGACAGAAAACCCGCTCCTGGAGGATGGCCGTGGCTGCCGCTGCCTTCCGTTATTGGTGGGGCTGGGCCCGGCCCACAACCCTCTGGGTGCGGGCGGGACAGGGAGCTGGTGGAGAGGGGTGGGGTTGAGGCCTGGGGGCGGGTTGCCAGGGATCAGCCCTTCTGCCTGCTCTCGGCAAGCACTGTGCATGACTGAGTTGGCGTGTGTGTGCGCGCGTGCGCAGGTGTGTGTCTACGTATATGTACACACCCCTACCCCACGTTCCACGCTAGCTCTGTTTGAAGTAACACCACCTCCACTCCCCAGCCAGCTATCAACCCAAGCAGAAACAGACTACCCTGAGGCTAAAATAGCATACTTATTTTGAGTACATAAAATGTGAGCCTAAAACAGGTTGTCCAAATTGGACGATTTTGTCTTCCTTTACAGTAGGGTCACACCCTGGGCCAGGGACTGTTTTCTACCAGACACAAAGCGCGCTGGGTGCCTGCAGCTGTCTCTCAGAACCCACACTGCCTCTTACCTGCCTGGAGACAGTGCTAGCATATAAAACTCAGTGTGCATGAGCTGGTATCACTGGGACACCTGACTTCTTACAGGATTTAATAAAGCAGAAGTGTGTTTCCTTTTTACATTTCTTTACTACAAACAACTACATGTGTTTTTCCTATTAAAGGGAATCCTTAGGGCTTCCCTGGTGGCACAGTGGTTGGGAATCTGCCTGCCAATGCCGGGGGCTTGGGTTCGAGCCCTGGTCTGGGAGGATCCCACATGCCGTGGAGCAACTAGGCCCGTGAGCCACAACTACTGAGCCTGCGCGTCTGGAGCTTGTGCTCGGCAACAAGAGAGGCCGCGACAGTGAGAGGCCCGCGCACCGCGATGAAGAGTGGCCCCCACTTGCCACAACTAGAGAAAGCCCACGCACAGAAACAAAGACCCAACACAGCCAAAAATAATTAATTAATTAATTAATTTTTTAAAAAAGGGAATCCTTAGCAGTGGAAGCATCTTAAAATCATCTTCCATCCTGACTCATACACCTTTTCAAAATAAAAATTTGTCACAGTATTTATATAACATATAGATAGAATCCTATAGAATTTCAAATGGGCTACTTTTCAAAGTAGTAGGCCCAATTTAAAGTAAGATTGCTCTGCTGAGAACTGAAATACCTTCCAAAGGTCTCTCGATTTTACTACAATATGGATCTTAGAAGTGTTTTGTTTTCTCTGTTCCAGTTTAGCGTTTTACCTAAAATGTTTTATCACATCTCATTATATCTTGTATGGCATTATGTTTTACTTGGGCATGTCCCTCAAATATATGAACACATTTGAAGTTGAGTTGAAAGTGCATTGTTCTTATTTACCTTTAGAAGTAACTAGCCATCTTCATCTTCATCCTTCACTGAGTTCTCAAGGTCTTCTTGACAGGCCACAAACTAACTCCAAAATGTAAGCCCTTTCTTCAGTTCCTATAGAAGCATAAGTTTGTGAAGACTGTAAGCCTGTGGACTTCCATTTTTACATGTAAGGGCTAATTACTTGTAATCTACTAAATAATTTATAGGAGGCATATCTAAACTAAAATCATAAACTGAAATAATCACTAGAATTTACTGAGGAGTCAGTACTCTGCGAAGAGATCTGGCTGCCTCACAATGCTTGAAATCATCTTTCTCCTAGTAGATCTCCCTGCTTCTATCCTTGTGGCTTTACAGTCTTTTTTCAACACAGCATAAAGAGAAAGCCTCCTAAAATGGTAGTCAGACCACATCACTACACTGATCATAACCCTGTGGTGGCTCCCCACTTGACTGCGTCAGAACTAAACTCATTAAATGGCCTGCAAGTCCCACATAACCTCTCTGACCTCATCTACTACTCCCTTGTAGGCTTTCCTCTAGCTGTTCCTTCTGCCCAAAACACTATTCACCAAGATATCCACTTGGCTGACTCCTCTTCTCCTGCATATTTCTGCTTAGTTATCCATCCTATTTAATACTCTAGCCTGCCCAACCTGCCCCCCGGTCACTCCAGTCTCCTTTACCTTAACCTACTTTTTCTTTTTTCCATAACACTTGCCACTCTCCAACTTTACTTTTACTCTAAGTTGAATAATATCCCAGCTTATTACGTTTATCATTAACCTTTAACTTCCCCTACTAGAATATAAGCACAGGGACAGAGTAGGATTTTTACTCATGTATCTCAAGCACCTAGAACAATACATGGCATATAGTAAGTATTCCAACAAATACTTGTTGAATGAATTTCTGGGGAGAGAATTTGCCATGACTGGTTTAAGTTGGGTGGGCGAAAAGGAAAAAGCGGCCTCGAAAGAGGGAAACACAGGTGCAGAGAAGTAAGATGTAAACTCTTTGTCAAGGTAAATAGAGGTTCCTTTAGGATTCAGCTACTGCCTACCTCTGTAGCCTTATCTCCAACCCAGCCTACGAACGTGCACCCCTCTTCAGCCGTGACAACTGACTTGCACTTTACTGAATATGTACTTTCTCGTCTTTGGGACTTTCTATTCCCTCAACTAGGACCACCCTTTCTACCCCCTCTCCCATAACCTCCCTCTCTGTCAGTTAACTTCTTTGTCTTCTCCACAATGTGCTCATGCCTCCCTTTTTTCTTCCTTCCTCCTGTTTGCTCCAGGATCTCTTAGCACTGCACATACCCTGCTCACAGATAGCACTTGTCACACACTGTTGGAGCCATTTATTTCCCTGTCTGCCTCCTCAACTAGACCATGAATTCTTTAAGGGCAAGGAATATGACTTTCACTCCAGTTTCCCTAGGGCCTATCAAACTGTCTCATATATTACAAAGACTTGATGAATATATGCACAATTACATGAGCAGTCACAAAACAATGAGAAAAATCACTGTTACTGGAGTATGAAGAGAGGGAAGCAGGGAGTTGCAGCAAGAGATAAAGCTAGGAAAATAGGCTGTGGCAAGATTATGCTACAACCTTATATGCTCTGCTGAAGAATTTGAACTTGTCCTATAGGCATTCGGCAGGCAGTGGCGGTTTCTGTAGCCAGAGAACTGACATGATCAGCTTTGATTTTCAGGAGAATATCCTGCCTTCAATTCTTCATCCATTTCCAAAACACCTGCTAAGAGAATCGCTGAAAGGACACAAATGTGCAGTGGTTTAGGTTTGGAGATACAAATAGAATTTTTTACGTCCTGTCTTCAGAATTTATTTTTCTGGCTATTTTGCTCAGTAGATTATAACAGCATGATAATGAGGCCAAGGTCATGGTTTAAATTCCTGGGTGAGTCAGTCAGTGCAGTGGCCACAGCTGACTGTTAATCTTTGCCAGTTGTCAGATGACAACATGTTATTTCTTGACAAGGAGCTGGGTGGAAGGATATGACTGGTTCATCAAAAATTAATCAGCATTATTGGAAAAGTAACTCAAAGGGCTTAACTGTGACTATAGGACCATACTGTAATTTTAAATAAAAATAAGAATATTAAATTGGTGAT